CATATAAAGATACTTGAAGGTCTGTTACTGCGTATATGTATTTCTCAGAGTTTCATTAGTCAGTTGGAAGTTAAAGAAAATAATACATTGTCTTCTACTCTTCTGTTGAAGCTGAGTACAAAACAATGCCCAACGTCTGTCATAAATTGATGTGGGTAAGATATTTCTTAACTGTAATTAGATTAATTAATTTTAATGTAATTAAAATTAATATATAAATATAATTTTTTAGTTTTAAAATTTTTATTTAATGTAAAAATGAAGAAAATTAATTGGAGGATGAAATTGAAAACAATTTTGAGAAAATTGGGTGAAAGTTTTGGTTTTGGGGGTATTTTTGAAAGAAAAATCAAAAACTAGAGGTCAAAACATAATTTAAGAAACTTGTGCCACATATGACGCCTAGTCAGCAGTCCCAACAAACCAGAGCGCACCGCGTGGCAAGGCACGCTGACGCAGTGCTACACTAGAGGCCACACTAACGATTTGCGTACCCGCGATCGGACAGTCCGGATTTGTTCTAACGCGCACGAACGGTTCAGATTCATTACATCCTCAGACGCAATCGAACGATCACGATTAAACGCAATGAACAATCCATATCTACTTTTTATTTAAACTCGATCGGACAATCCAAATCAAATCGTGATGAACGGTCCAGATTCACTTCCTATTTAAACGCAATCGAGCAGTCCAGATCAAACGCGATAGATGGCCCAGATTAAAAGGAGATAGATATAAATAATTTTTTTTACACCAAACCCTAACCCTAACCGTCAGACCTCTCCCGCCGAAGAAGAAAGCAAGTCGCTGGGAAGGGAGTCAACCGCCGCTGTACTGAAGCCGCCTCCGACCGCTAAAAGAGGTAAAAAAAAAAATTCATTCACTCGAAATTTAATTTTGAACACCCCCATGGTCAAATCGAAGCAAAAGGACTGGTGGATGAGCTAGAAACTACGAGTAAAGCCCGGAGGCGCCACCGCGGAAAAAAGCACCTTCCCGATTTCCGCTTCGTGTAATTTTTCTACCATTGTAATCACCATCCCTTTTTCTACAAGTTGACCGAAGCAAAACGTCCAACTGCAAATGTGAGCCAGTAGAGTCGCCACACCGGAGAACTCCGCCACCGGTACGCTTCAGTTTTTCAATTTTTTCAGTCCACCAAGGCCCCTTAACTTGTTTTCTCACAGGGATTGATACAAAACCAACTGAAATCAGCCAAAAACAGTCAATCCGAGGCAAACCGCCACCACAGACGACGGTGCCGTCACTGGATCACAGCGGAGCCGCCATGCTAGAATTCTAGAATTGGCCAAAAAGGGTTTCTAACACTGATTTTAAATTTTTTGAGGTATTTTTAAGTACTTAAAGCGCGTTTTAATCCCCAAAAAAATTCAGAGAACTTGGTGACCGCCAGTAGGCGCAGTCAAAAACTTAGCGTTTGTACACCAATTCAAATAAGAATCTCTCACCTTATTCCCTATTATGGAATTGATGTTTAATTAATAATAATACGATATTTTGTATAATTTAGAAAATATCCATAATTAATTGCAGGTCACTAATGGAGCTGAAACCAGTTATTTATTACTGTCTGCCATGTTTATCTGATTGATTGATTTTACAGTTTCGAATGCATGATAATACACTGCAATTGGTATGATAATTTGATTGTGTTTCCTTAATGCATGTATTGCTTGTTTTATGTTATTACAGTTAAATTGGAAAACTGAAAATTAAAGGTAAATGAAAAATTGTTGATTAAGTGAATGGATGAACGGTAACCTTACTGGATATACTGGGAGATGGTAGACAGACCGGGTACATAGAAACTCTACCGTGAATATTGTCTCATATCGAACGGGGTATC